GTAAAGGGCTAGAACTTAAGTAGTTTTAAGTAGTAAGCTACTATAAAGTTAAGCCTATTATTTTAGTTTTTAAAGATTGCTTTTCTTAGCTATTATATCTACTATTATATAATACTAGGAGCTATATTATTCTTTATAGATAACTTATTTTTAATTTAAAGCTATATTAGTAGTAGCTTATTAACTTACCTTAATATAATAGTGTTATTAAAGTCTTTAGGTATATTTTATATTATAAATAGCTTTATAAACCTTAAAGATCTACTATAGCTATACTTTAAGGGCGCTATAGAGGCCCTTTAATATAAAAAAGGTAGTAATAGTAGTAAGTTTAGCTATAAGCTATATAATAAAGGAGTTAATTTAATAAAGGGTATTAAGGATAGTTAGTGTAAAGAAGGGGTAGAATTAATACACTGCCTCTATAGTAGTAAGTGTTCTATTTATTTAAGGCTATTTAAAGTAGTATAAGGGTTACTTAGTAGTAGTGGTTATAAAGCTATAATTATAGAAAGTAATATAAATAAGCTATAGAATATAGTTAGACTTAATAAGGTTTAATTCTCTTAAAAATTAAATTTAAAGGTTAGTAAAGAATTAAGTATAGTTAATAGTGCTATCTCTTTTACTTTATACTTACTATATTATTTTACTTTAAAGTATAATAAGTTTAAGTTACTATTAAGCTATAATTATTAAGAGTTTATTACTATTAAATAATATATAGCTATATTAGTCTTAAAGGGGGTAGTGCTAATTAAAGTTAGTAATAATAATATAGTAGTATTATAGTAGTTTTATAAAGAAGTTATAAAGGGGAGTTATTTAGTTATAGTAATAAGTAAAAGAGTAAATAAAGTAAATATTAATATTATAGAGAGTTATAGCACATTAGTTAGTATTAAACTATATTATTTATAAGCTAAGGCTATACTAATAGTAAATATAAATAGCTATTCTTTTACCTTAAGCTATAAGTTAGTAAAGACTTAAGCTTAGGTTTAAGGGGTCTTTATTAATACTATATAGTTTTTAAATCACTACTATATTAGTTTTAAATTAAGACCTAAGAGCTAGGTAAATAAGTTATATCTTCTTCTATATATTCTAGTATATTACTTATAATATTATATTTAATTAAAAGGTAAGGGGGTTTTTTATAATAAAGGGGCTAACTTAATGCTAAGGCAGTAGCTAAGGAAGGCCTTAATAGCGCTTTAAGGCCTTAGTAAAGGGGGTATAAATATTATATTAAGGCTTAAGTATTAGTTATAGCTACCTTAAGGGCACTTACTACGCTTTTAAAGTAAGGCTTTATTAAAGAGGGTATTATTAGTTTATTTACATTAGCTATAGGTTTAGACTTTAGTTTAGCTATCTATATTTATAGAGGTTAGTGTAGGTAGGGCGGCGAAGCTACTTAGTTAGTTTAGGTATATAGCGTAGGCTTTTATTTAATAGTTATTAATAATTAAGTAGTGTTTTAACTAAGTAGGGTAGGTGCTTATATAGTTAGTATATTACTCCTACTCTATACTTATAATAACTAAGTAGTTAGTTTTAAAAGCGTGTTTAATAGCGGTATAGTAGCTATAATATAGAGTTATAATATAGTATATAGTAATATAGCTAAATTTAAAGTATTAATAGTATTAGTGTAGGTAAAGAGCTTTATTATATAGTTTAGCTTTAAATATTTTAGCTTTATAGATAACTCCTTTATAATATAGTCTATTAGCTATATTAATATCTTTAATTTTAAGGATAAAAAGGGCTTATATTATAGTACTATAGGGTTTCTATACTATAACTTTAGTAATACTACTGCTATTAATAAAGGTAAGGTAGTAAAGGATATCTTCCTTAATAACTTAATATATATAATAAATAGGGAATTCTTTAATAATAATATTAAACACTTATTAGTTTAGTATTATATTTAAGCTAAAGGTAGTTTAGATTTATTTTATATTCTTAGTATAAAGTTAGGCTATATCCTTAAAGGTAACCACTATATTACTACTATAGAGGCGCCTTATAGCTACTACAGTGTCTTTATTTATAGCTTTATTAATAATATAAATAATATCTTTTAAGCTATATTATTTAACTACTTTACTAATTAAGTTACTTTTAATAATAATCTCTTTATAAATATAAGGCAGTACTACTATAAAGGCAGCTAAGTAAATAAGCCTATTAGTTATTAAGGTAGCGCTACTAGCTATAATTCTAGCCTATATTATAGCTAATGTAGTTTTAAGTTAAATAGCCTTCTTAATTGCCCTTTTAACTATTACTTTAAGGTTAGTAGTTATAATTAGTTCTTAAGGGTTAGTAGGTTATTTATAATAGGCCTATATTATTTCTACATTAATAATATATAAAATAACCTTTTAGACTCCTTTTAGTAAGAAGGTTAGTATAAGCTTAGTAATTTTATTATATTTCTATTATAAATAAACTAATACTTAGTTCTAAGCTATATTAGCTATAGTGTTAACTTAGTTTTCTACTATAAACTTACTATAGTAAGTAAGGGAATTATAGTAACTTTATAAAATACTATAGTTTTCTATATTAATATTTATTATTATTACACTACTTACTATACCTATGCTCTAGACCTAATACACTATTATAAAGGAGGGTAAATAAGTATAGCAAAACTTTTTATCTACTTTTTAAGTCAATCTAAGTCAATTCTGCAGCGTTGTCGCGGTGCGGGCGAAATCGCGAAAGTTTAACTACTTTATATTTATTATAAATAGTAATGCTTTAAATTATTAAAAGATTAAATTAAATATAGAGATAAAACCCTTTTTTTTCCTTTTTTTTATAATAATTTATTATTTATTTTAATATAAATAAATAGTAGTTATAATAGTTTTATAGCTATAAGTAAAAAATAATATAATAACTTAGCTTTATATAAATAGCTTTACCTTAACTATATACTATAATTATAGTAGTTAAAGCTATTAATATACTACCTTTGAATAAATAAACTATCTATTAAATATATTACTTTATTTAGTTTTAAATAAATATAAATAGCTAAATATTCTTAGTGGCAGCTTATATTATTTTAAGCTTAATTTAAGACTATATTTAAGCACTTTACAGCTTATTTAAAATGATATTAAACTCTATATAGCTTAAAACTAGCTAATAGTTTAAGGTAAAAATAGTTTAATAATTAAACCTTTTTCTATAAAATATATAAATAAATCTACTATTACTATTTTAAAATTAGTTTATATAGCTATAGTATAGTAAACTATTAAAGCTTATAAAAATATATAATTTTTAGCTATAAACTTAAAGGACATTAATTTTATTCTCTCTCTTTTTATAGTAATATCTTTAAAACTAAACTTAATATTAATTTTTTTATTAAAACTTTATAACTTTATAGATTTATTTTAAAAAAATAAAGCTAATACCCTTTCTTTATATTAAAAATATATAGATTATTATATATACCTTAAGTTAAGCCTAAATAGTATACCTTTAGAACTTTTATAGGCCTTTTTATATAATATACTTTAAAATTAATTATTAAAAATCTATAAATAAATTATTAACTTTATAAATAAAGGTTAAATATATACTTTATTTTTTATAGCTATAGTATTAATACTTTTAGTTTAAAAGGCTAAAGGTAGCTAGTAGTTTTATATAAATTACTATATATTTAATAAAGTAATAAACTAAAATTATTACCCCTTTTCTTTAATAAAAAAAAATATTTTACTTATTTTTTAAAGCCTATTAGTTTATAAAATTAAATATTTAAGCTATATTTTACTGCCTTTAAGTTATAAAAGGCTATAAATATTTTATAGTGTTTTAAACTTAATTTAAACTTTTTAAATAATTAATTTATTTATTTAGCTTTATAAAGGCTTTAGCTATATTTTAATAATATATTAATAAAGCTTTAAAGAATACCTTAAAAGCATATACTATAATATACTTAAATAATATTTTAATTTATATTAATAGCTTTTAAAAAGATTATATATAATATATATAAAAGGTCCTTTATTATTTTTAAAAGGTAAGCCTTAACTTTAATATTATTAAGTATAGCTTTAAAGTTATTAAAGTAAAATACCTAAGGTTTATTATAAAAGTAAAATAGGTAATATACCTTAATTTAAAAAAAATTATAGCTATTTAATAGTAAAAGGCCTTAATATAAATTAAAGGTATATAAAGCTTTTTAAATTTTATAAACTTTTATTAAGATTTTATTATTAATTTCTTAAGCTTAGTAAGGCCTTTTCTTTAACTTATATAAAAGGGTATGATATTTATTTAATTTAATAGATATAATATATTATTTTAAAAGCTTAAAAATATATTTATTTTCTTTTTAATACTTACTTAATAAAACCTTAAAAGCGATATAATAATAAAGGTAAATGCCTTTAAAAAGGCCTTTAAAGAATACCTTTTTTAATATAATAAAAAAGGTATACTTTATTTAATAGTGTATTACTTAGCTTAGCTTTTTAAAGCTAAATAAAACTATATTATTTATAATAAAAAGTTACTAAGTATTGTCTTTTACTTTAAAGCTTAATTTATAAAGCTTTAAAGTATTTTCTACCCCTTTATAGTTTTTATAAATTATAAAAACTTAAAATACTTTATAGTATTTTATATAATATTTAAATATTAAGTAAAATAAATAGATTTATTATCTCTCTTTAATTATAAGCTTTAATATAAACTTAGTGTTTAAACCTTTTAATTTAATACTTTTTTATATTATAAATAAAATAAGTTTAGCTTCTTTTTAAAACACTATTCCTTTATAGCTTTAATATATATTAATAACGTTTTAGCTTATTTTAATATTAATATTAAGTAAGGTTTAATTAAGGCTTTAAAGATGCTATCCCTTTGTATAGGCTTACCTTTAAGTTTATTAATCTTTTTAAATATTTATTTATATAATCTATAAAACTAAGTAATTACTATAAACTCTTATCCTATAGCGCAGTGGTCAAGCGCCTAGATAACCGCTTACGGTTGTAGGTTCAAATCCTACATAGGACATAGGTTTTTCTTAGTGTATATATAGAGGTAAGGGCGCTAAAAAAAATCAAACCTTAATTAGCTAAAAGGGGAGTGGTAGCCCTATTTCTAGCTAATTAATACTTAATTAATAGTAAAAAAAGTAGGTTTAGTCCCCCTACTTTTCTATTGCTAACTAAGCGATATAAATTAGCCACTTCTACGTTATAAATAGGCAAATTACCCCCTAGCTCTTAGGTTATAAAGCTAGTTTATAGCTGTAATTGCTAGGAAAAAAAATAGGTAATTAGGAATAAAAAAGTGGGGTAGCGGTGGTATATATTAATAACTAAAAAAAAAAAAAGGAGGTATAGGGTAATTTATAGCTAAACCGGTATTTTATGGTTAGAAATAGGGACTAAAAGCAGATTTTAAATGTAGTTAGTAGGTTTTTCACCCTATTAGGCAACTAATTAATTAATAATTACTTAGGTAATTATTAATTAGCAACCTAATAAGGTTTTCCTACTAAAAAATTAGGTGCAGAGGTTCTAGATATAGCTAAGAGCATAAAATGCTTATATAAAAAAATAGCTGCTAGTGTACTAAATACAAATACAAATACAAATACTATAAACTCTTTTTATTTAGTTAAGTAATATATAATTTAATAAAAGAAATAGTAATTCTTTAATATAGTAGAAACTTAAACTTAAATTATAAATTATTAAATTAATATTTATAGCACTCTATAGTTTTAAAGCTAACTTTAAGTATTTACTTATAAGCTACTTACTATATCCCTTATTTAATATATATATAATTCTCTATTACTTAGCTATTTAGGTAAAAATACTATATTTTAAGTATTTATTTAAAATTATTATTAAAAATACTTCTTTTAAAATATAGCTTAATTTATTTAAAACTATTACTACTATATTAATTATAAAAGTTACTAGCTTTATTAAAGCCTTTTTAAATTAATTTTAATACTAAACTATTATTAATTTTAAATATTAATAAATTTTATAATAAACCTTTTAGCTATAAATAAAATAATATTATAATACTTAATAATTATTATAGATTAGTTATTTAAGTTTATTTAGCTAAAAGTAATAACTACTATAGCTATTAAGGTATATATAAAATAATTCTATTTATATTAGTAGTATTTTTATAGGTTCTTTAAGTAAATTATTTTAAATTAAAGCTTAAACTATATAAATTAGTTTTAATTAACCCTTTACTCTTTAATAAAAATAAAATAGCTTTTATTTACTATTTATTACCTTTAAATAAATAAAGGTATAAAATAAACTAATTAAGAGGTTTAAATAGTTTTATAAATTATAGTTAAATTTTTTTAGTTTAATTAAATTAACTATCTTTTAATATATTAATTAGCTTTAAATAACTAAACTTTTTTAATTATTAAAGTAAGTATTAATATAGCTATATATAAATTTAATATACTATTTATTAACTATATTTTAAATATATATATAAGTTTAATATTTATAAAGAGCTACGCTATATATTTTTTAAAATACCTTTAAAAGGGCATTATATTAGCTTAAGTAGTAATTAATTTTACTTAATAATAGTAACAAAACTTAACTAACTACTTTTAATACTTAGGTAAGTGTTTTATAATAAAGAATATAATTTAATTTAATTTTTAATATATTAAAATAAATAAGCTATTATGAAAACTAAATTAAGTAATAGTAAAGTACTATATTTTTAATATATTTATATTACTTACTATTTACCTTAATATTCTCTATAGTATTTATTTAATTTCTTATATTAACTTTTTTAAATATATTATTATTAATTTACTTTTATTATAAGTCTTTATTAACTTTTAGCTAAATTTAACTCTTTTTCTTTTAAAAAATAACTTAAACTTTATTAAATATAATATAAAAGTAATCCTTATAGTATAAAATATATAAAGCTAAGGTAAATAGTAAGATATTTTAATTTATTAAAAAAGGTATATTTAACTAACTTAAAAACTATTAAAAACCTTTAAAAATATAAAGGTACTTTTTTATTATAAAATATAATAAAGAAATATATAAATAAGTAATAAACTTAAATTAATATAAATTTAAACTTTTAACTTATATATTAAAAATTAGATTTAAACTATTTTATAATTAAACCCTTTTATTCTTTTTTTACCTTTATTTCTTTACTTTTCTATATTCTTTATATTTTTTATAATAAAATAATATTAATAGCTAAAAGGCTAAGGTTATAATTTTAATAGCCTTTTATTAGTTCTTTTTTAACTTTTTTTAGCTTTTTATATCTTTAGTTTTAAAGAAGTAAAAGTATTTAATATTATATAATTAAAGTTATATTTAAAGGATTTATTTAAGTTTAAAAAAAATAATAGCTAAAGTAATTTTAGCTTTAAAGACATTTTACTTTTTTTTAATTTAATACTTTTTAATATATTAATAAAGAAAATATATAACTTAGCTTTTAAAGTTAATTTAATAAAAAGTAGTTTATAATATAAATAAATATAAATATCTGTTAAAACTATTTTAAATTTTACTATTTTATTAAATAATTATAATATTTAAAATAAAAATATAGTAAAGATTAATTTTACTTTATAATAAAAATATTACAAAGTAAATATAAACAGGTAATAATTTTAAAGATAATATAATTGTAAGGAGCTTACAAGACTAGCCTGCGGCGACTCCTTGTCGCTAGTACTTAGTTATACACTTAGTATATAAACCCTAAGTAATGTATATATAAAGGGAAAAAGACTTAAAAGAAGTAAGCTTTAGTTAATATATTAATTACTATATTACCTTTATTTAGCTACTTTATTAATATTTAATAATTTTAAAGCTTCTTTAAAGGCTATTTAAAGATAATATAGTACTTTAAACTAAATAACCTATTATAATTCTTTATAAAGATTTCTTATTCCCTAACCCTTTATTAATACTTTATTAATCTATAAAAGGTTTATAAAGTAGTGTTTAAACTATTAATACCTTTACACTAAAAGGGGTAAACTTAAGTACTTAAAGCCTCTATAAAAAAGCTAAAGTAATTAAAAAGTAAATCTTTTAATTAAAAAAGCTAAAAAGACTACAGAAAAAAAAATAAAAACTTCTTTAAGCTTTAAAATAAGGAATTAATAATAAAATTAAGGTAAAATGTTACTACTTTTATAAAGATTTATTTAATAATAACTAAAGAGAAGTTAAGGTTAAAAACATTAATTTACTTATATACTTTACTAATCCTTAAAAATATAAGATCTAAATTAATAACTTAAACTATATCTTTAATAAAGTAAGATATAAGTTCTATTAAAATTACTTAAAAATACTCTTTACCTTTAACTATATATACTAATTTTATAAGGTAAAATAAAACCAATTTTTTAATAAATAGCTAAATAAGCATTATATTAAACTTAAGAATAATTAAATAAAGTTTTAAAAATAAACCTTAATATTATTTAAAGACTTTATAAACTAAAAGGCTTAAATTACTATTATAATAAAGAATATTAAATAAAGAGATAGCTAAAGCCTTATTAATTTTAATATTTACCTTAATTTACTAAAGAAATATTTAAAGAGAGCTAGTAAAAAAGCTAAAGCTTTTCTACTTTTTATAAAGTTATAACTAAAACTCTAAAACTATATTAACTTATATATATTTATTATAAAAAAAACTTAAGAGAAAGTAGTTTAAATTACTTAATAATTTTAGAATATAATACTAATAAAGCTTAAAAGAAAAATAAATATTTTTTATAAAAAACTTACTAAATTTTAGCAAAATTAGTTCTCCCTTTTCTTTATAAACTATTAGTAATTAACTATTATAGGTTTAATAACTAAAGCTAATAATAATAAAATAAAGGGTAAATATAAATACTATAACTATAGAGAAATAAGGTATATTTAATATAACTATAATAAACTAATAAAGGCTAACTTTAATACCTTAAAAAATAATAACTAGTAGAGGTAGCTATCTTTATCTTTATTAAAGAATAAATTTAAATTAAGTAATATTTCTATATTTACACTATAATTTAGAATAAAAACACTACCTATACCTTTATAAATCTTAATACCTATTTTAATATTAATATTATTAACCTAGAATTTATAATAGCTTAAAGCTTAATAAAAACCTAGTTAATAGCCCCTAAACTCTAAATAGTTAGGGACCTTTAAGTCCTTAAATATAGAGTATATTAGGTATTAATTTATATTATTAATTTAAGAGGTATATTTAGAAATTTAAAGCTATTATATATAGCTATTAATTATAAACTAAACCCTTAAAGAAGTTTTATATTAATTAAAATATATACTTTAGCAAAAGAATATATTTATTTATCTATATATAATAGAGAATAGTGGTCTAAAATATAATACACTAATATATTATTTTTAACTCCTTATTAATTTACTAAAAAGTATAAAAATAAAGCAGTTATTTATATACTATAAAGCCTTCTAAATAACTAATATATTAAACTAAAAAATAAAGAAGTAGTAAACCTTTAGGGAATTACCTTAAGTATCTCTTTAAAACTTAAAGCTTTTATAGATATATTTACTTTTAATAAAGCTAGTATACTTCTATTTATTAAAAATATAAATTATTTAATTAACCTTTTACTTAATACTTCGCTCTTTTATAGACCTATATACTCCCTATCTTTAAATAAGCTTAAAATTCTATAAAAATACCTTAAAGAAAACTTAATAAATAATTAAATAAAACCTTTAAAAAGCTTTATTAATACTTTTATACTCTTTATACTTAAAAAGAATAGCACCCTTTAATTATATATAAATTATAGAGGTATTAATAAAATTATATTTAAGAATTGCTATATATTACCCTTTATATTAGAAATTTTAAATTACTGCTAAGGGGCTAAGTTCTTTATTAAAATTAATATTAAGGATATATACTACTAGATTTATATTAAAGAAAGAGATAAATAAAAGATAGTGTTTTATATTTAA